AATGGTGATTATCCCACTCGAAACTGTTATAGCCCAAAGCCGCCAATCAGAAGCAGTGAATTATCGACCGGACCAAGGACGCGCAAAACACGTGCGAGCAGCCTAGAGTCCCTGATTGGTCCTGCTTTCCGCCTAGCCCAGTCAGTTAAGTCTAGAACACCAGTCTCAGCCTCTGCGATATGAATCATTTATTTCAAACATACTGAGTTTATATACCAATCAACCCGACCACAACGTACCAATGAAATAGAAAATAACATTTGTACAAGAATTAGCCAAATGTGTCTGTGAATGTGGGAGATTGTAATCAATAGACTGGGCATAATTCAAGAATGTTAGATCGTATAATAATAGTTCATATGTCAAAATAAAGCTCATAATAAAAAGGGACATGAATATGAATAGTTAAGTTATTTAACAATTATACGATAAAACTATACACACAGTACTGGTCCATAAACAGATCCCAAAAGTTACCATTCACTATGCTTATCGGGACCTAACAGTAACATCCTAAAAAAGCACCTAAATTTAACTACTAAACACTTTTAAATCACAACGTAGAGTTTTATTTTATTGAATATCAAGATACTAACGAATAACTGAATAGCACTGTTGTGATTAACTCAAATCAATATTATGACTAGTTGATAGTGCCAGAACAAAAATTACTATTGTGACTTTTCTCATTTCAATATTAACTTAATATTTATTAAATTCTAATGTTATGTTACTGACAGCTTGATTACTTTATCTTTTACAATACTAAATGTACTGTATTGTTTCGTATCTTACAAAATACCTTTCTTTATTTAGTATATTTTAACTTGTTCAGATATTTCATCTTATTAACACAAACCATTAAAGTTCAGTAGTAGAATGCTGTTACTATAAGTATCTGATCTGTCAATGTTACTCTCTCCTGATACCTAAAACAAAATCATACTACCTACATTTCATTTGTTAGTCATTTTAATGAAAAATTTTATTCATTCTGGCTCTTAATTAACTCATCAATAAGGAATTAATTTATGTAATTGAAATTTATTTTTAGATTAAAACAGTCTATGGTTGTTTTAATTGGTTACTTATGTTATTTTTACTAATACTTATAAACCACACAGGTTGATACATGTTTAAATTAATTAAACCTTGTAAAATAGCCTATTTCTAGACAGACAATTTTTTTCGGACAAAAATAATTCTTTAGGCAGAGATAGAATGTGGCTAGCAATCGAATCCGGAACGGGCGTTTCTTACTATTTGGGTGTCTTAGAGTTGATGTCTACTTCACCACCATTCATACCTGCTTAAAAACTTCTTGTGAATTAATGGCAATATCAAGACAATCCACACAATACAAACGTATGTCAAGAAGAAAATTATCAATAGCTGTCTTAACCATTAATCAGATGATTCAAAAAATCGATGCATCTATATTTCCATACAATTATCCTTCATGTTTGTATGCCTATATCAAGGAGTATGCATGACTGAAGATACTCGCTCACGTATATGTCATCCTTACGCAAACACTAATCACTTAAATTATATATAAGAATGCCTAACTGACAATGACTCGTATGCCTATAAATTTGTGTGCAAGATGTGGATTGCGTCGGTATATATGATCCCTAGTAGAAGCTTATTTTCAGTTATGGAAGTTTCTTTACGGTCAAGTTGCGTGCTTCGTCGTGACGCTTTCAGGGAACATTATGTGTAACCAAGCAGTGTTGCACAATTCACTGTATACTTTCCCAATAAACACAGCTGCCTCCACATCACAAATCACTCAGATTTCTATTTCCTCTAGATCTTCTTTCTTTTGTAGCCAGTAGTCCACCTCTAAGTATAATTGAATTGAGCTTTGCCTTAGTGAGCATTAATTCCTCCATTTCTCTATCTGTTTTGCATGCTTATTTCATCACTGGAGTTATGTATGAAATAAACTATTGTAACTACTTTGTTTCACCTTCTCAATACCTTAAACAGTCTGGAATTTTCTTATAAACAGTAACCTGATTTATTTTTATACAAAGCACATGAATAACGCGCGAAATAGGTATAAACTTTAAGAGAATCCAATGATATTATCACAATAAATTAATCATGGTTAGATTCATTTAGTTTTCTCATACATTTCTAATCTAATATATCCCCCCTAACTAAATGAATTGAATCATACAATCGTTTAAATTTATTAGACGGCCGTTTCGTCCTATTGTGAGGCTTCCCAACAGTGCGCATCCACGATCCGGCCTCGCAAGATTCGAACCTAGGATCTATCAGTTTTTCATGGTGGTCTAGCTTTAATTAACTCATGATCTCAACTATTGAAATTACTATAAAATCCACAAAACCCCTTCTGAATTTACTGAAATTATTAGACACAATTTTCTAAATACAATATGGAATACAAAGAAAGTAAGTTATAAAACTGACAACAAATGTAAAAATTCAATGTATATGCTTTGTATATAAATTCTTCTAATAAACTTCTCATTCTTATTCATCTTATATAATATATTTATCTTCATTTTATGCATGCTGTGACATTCTTGATTCATATCATAGATAAAAATTATATGTTTTCTTATTATTCACCAACCGAAGACTATACATAGCGAATGAAATTCCTCCTCATTTACGTATACACATAATCTATCATCATAACACTTTTCGTTTCATACCACATAATTCTTAAACCTTAATGCAAATACCTACTTTAAACATTGTTAACATTGATTGAATGACCTATTCAGTATACAATGAATCGGAGAACTATATACCTATTTATATTCGATCATTTTGATGTTTGATTAGATTTCTTTGAAAAAGTTTAAATCAGATTGTCAAGTGAAACATTGGATTTACTTCATATGTATTCACTGACATTTTACAAATATATATTCTTCCTCTTTAATGTCTTACATTAATTTGGTGCCTAAATACTATGAAACTATTCGAACAAATTCAAAGGAAAATACGTATTTCATATAATGTATTATGTAATTGTTTAATGTTGATTTATTTTATTATTTAACTTGTTTATATTACGTACAATGATGACGTAAGTTTTATCTAAATGATAAATTATCAATTAAATTTCATTGTTTAATAATTATTTGGCGTGACTCTAATTTATGGACGACCTTTTGAACAAATCTTAAATGACCTTGAGAAATATTAGCCAATCAGCAAACAGTCAGTATAGAGTAAAAATATATTATATCAAGCCATGGAAATAAAGTGGATGCACTCTCTATGCGTGGTTCAATAACTTGTCGAGGTTAGAAAGAGGTTCAGAGGTTCCAAAATCGTAATACATACAGTGAAGGAAATCATCCATATGTCTACAGAATAGTCGACATCTGGAGTCATGATAAAGTCTCAAAAACTATATCAGCCTCAAGCACATAGCTTCAATATTGTTTATGTGCACTACGGTTGTTGAGTGCACAAAATGCTACTTGTGGATAACGACACGATGCACATAATCAAGCCTATGTAGGAGTCTGTACGCTCTCCAAACATCCGTATATATTGTAGTACCTGGTTGCAGCCAGTGTTACTGGTGCTTTTATTATCCAGTTCGCAATAATTGTCGTAATTTGCCTCAATTAGGAATTATATATGGGGTTCTCATCACGAACTGACATCATCTATAATGCCAGAAAATTATTTAACCAAATGGATGAAAGGCGTTCGCGTTAATATCCAAGATCTATTATCTTATACCTCATTGATTCGTCCACATATTATAGTGTCATCGTTTTATCTGTTATAGCCGCTCGATTATCACATTTTGTACAAAATTCCCTGTGAACCGATCGTACGTTAGCATTAAGTACTGAATTTGGCGCCGTAACCTTGAAATCTCTAAACCGCTTCTGATTGGTTCGTTCATAAATTAGAGTCTCGCCAATTATTTCACCATAACCAACATCTTATGTCAATTCGAAACTTTCAGAATTTAAATATTTATTTGAATAAGGTAAATCTTTCTTCTTCTTCTTTTTCTTCTCCTTTTTTCGGATAAAATTTTGTAATAAAGTTTTTTTTCTTTTCTTTTTAGAAATAAATGATGATGAATAATTTGATTGAATACTGTCATTATAAACAAATTGTTTATTTAAATTATTATTTTTTCTTCAAATAAAAATCAATCAATCATAAAAATGTTTATTATTTAAAAGTAATTCATGCAATCTATATGTTGTGACTTAAAGTTTAGCTAGTTATCACGTGATTTATTTGGCAATCAAAACACTACTTATTCAACTTTAGTATTGTATTAAACCAATGAAGTTCAATCGGTATGAGCAACCTAGCATCTTTATTAGTCCTTTGTTCATCTAATCCATCCAGTTAAGTTAAGAACACTAATAATAGCTCCCATGATAAATAATTATTTATGTCGAATATACTTGATTTATATATCAGTCAAATACAGAGCACATCATACCATAAAATAGAAAATAACATTTATACAAGATTAAACGGAAAAGTGGCTATGAACAAAAGAAACTGTAATCAATAAATGGAACATAACTTGAAAACAGTAAATCGTACAATAATAATCTATAGATCAAAATGAAGCTTAGAATAAGTGGAATTATTATTATTATTATTATTAGTATTATTATTATTATTAGCTTTATTCAATATTATAATTTTGGTACAATATAGAATTCTCAGCGCAAAGTATTTCAACAAGTTTCCGTTTCTTTCTTCTTGGTCGGCCCTGGCGATAAATATTGAGGAATCGCCAGTTAGATGTTAGCACTTCAGTGAATGAACAACTGAATAATGTACATTCTTTTCGTTGTACATTGCCAGCAACCATATTGTCTCTTATTGAGTTTTCTGTAACTTTGACAACGAAAGGTTGTACACTTTTCAGAAACGCAGCAGAATAGGCTATGCGATTAATAAACATAATGATATATTAAAACAAACAACAATAGATAACTTGTTGAAATATCTAGATGGCAAGAACAGGTAGCCCAGATGCTCAAGCAGGCAATCTAATTATTGAATAGTTGTACAAATAGGAATATATATATATAGTATTAGATCATGGAAGTTACTCGTCATCTAATCATCACCAATAGGATATAACATTATCATTTCTATATTTAATACTTTTTAACAAAATGTTTTTTTTCTTCAATATTTTATTTACATTTTCTTTTATATGAACAATATCATCTTCATTGAATTGATTCTGTTCATTATTATTATTATTATTTATATTAGATAATGATTTCATTGATATATTATTATATAATAATGAATAATCATTGATTAAATTAGATGTAATACAAAATTGTTTAATTAATTCATTCATCATTTTATTAGTTGGATATATATTATGATATCGATTATATAATAATATATTATAATATAATCTTAGATTGATTATTCTATAAATAGCACAATAAATAATACGTGGTAATAAATCACGTATATAAAATATTGATTTATTGATTAATTGATTGATTGGTATTAACATTTTATACTCTAATAAATACCAATTTAATGATGTATATAAACGTTTATGATATAATAATTGATTATTTTTAAAAAATTTAACATTATTATATTTTTTAGTTGAATAATTTATTGAATATTGATTATATTTATATAGACAATGAATCAATAAATTTTCTAAATATTGACTTATTAAATGATCACCAATTTCTAATATAATTAAATTAAAATCTTGATCATTTAAATGAAAACCTGTGATAAATTGATTATTTAATTGAAAGTTCTTATATTTACATTTATTATTATTATTATTATTGATATTACTATCATTATTATTACTATTACTCTTCTTATTACCATTATTATTAGTAGTAATATTATTATTATTATTACTGTTACTGTTATTATCATTATTATTTGAATTAGATAATAAAAAATTAGATAGATTTGAATGAATGCATGGCATATATTGTGATTGTATAGAATTTAAATTTGCTTTAATCATATGTAAAGGTAATTCATCAGATATACCAATTGAACGTGCATTTGATTTTATTATAAATAATTGAATTTTTTCTATTATCTCTGATACATAATTAGCTATATAAAGAAAAACAACAACAAAAATTAAGGATTGATTTAGGAGATTTAAGTTACAAAAAGAGTTATTCTTATTCAATTAATAAATATTAGAAAGCAATATGAATGATTATCAGTTTTTAAGGGTTGTGAAGATTGTTAAGTTTTTGATTGAAATCACCATTGGATGTCGACTAAGTAGTCTAGTTGGTTAAGCGACTAGTGCGAAACTGATAGGTCCTGGGTTCGAATCTCGCGGGATGCTGGGTCGTGGATGCTCACTACTAGGGAGTCTCATACTAGGACGAAACGGCCGTTCAGTGCTTCCAGGTTTCCCATGGTGGTTGATATTGAAAAGGCAACAACTTAGTCAAATTATTTACGAAGCAATCTGTTTAGTGTTCGAAGTGCTTTTAGAGATCTATATAATATTGTCAAATTCAAACTGTCTGAATGATATCAAACTTCTTGTTATGAGTTGTCAAGATAAATTGAAAGAATTTCCGATGGTTATCAGATGCAGCTGATGCATCCAAATTATTGGGACTCTCTGAACACCAAGTTACTTTGATGTTGCTTAAAATGTTTGTGAATTTTCCCGAGTTTAAGATTTACAAATATTGCAGACTTGTAATTCACCGGATAATATTATCCTTTAGCTGATCTGGAGAAGTCCTCTTCAGTTGGAAACGGGTTTGTTCTTTCCCACACTAAATTGTCGCTGATGGTATTCACCCAACGGACATTGAGTATTTTGCATAGACAATTGTTTATAAATGCTTGTACATTTTGGATGACTGTTGTAGTAGTTCTCGAAGTTACAGCTCCGTAGAGAACAGTAGGACTGTTTCGACGTTCATATTGAAGAGTCTGACAACATTCTCCACCGAAATCTGTTCTGCAAAATCCATTCAATTTACTATTGATTCTTTTGATGTCTCCTTCCAATTACCGACTCAATGTGTTCTCTGGTCTTCCTCTTTTCCTTTTCCCCTCACGATTCCAAGTTACCGCTTGCCTCGTCATTCAATTTGGTGGTTTCCTCAATGTGTGTCTGAACCACTTCCAACATCCTTTCCTAATTTCCTCTTCAGTTGGAAACTGGTTTATTCTTTTCCACACTAGATTGCTGTTGATGGTATTCGGCCATTGGACATTGAGTATTTTGCATAGACAATTGTTTATAAATGCTTGTACATTTTGGATGACTGTTGTAATACTTGTCGAAGTTTCAGCTCCGTAGAGAACAGTAGGACTGTTTCGACGTTCGTATTGAAGATTCTGAGTTTGATGTTTTGCAGACAGTTGTTTTGAGTTCCATATGTTCTTCCACTGTAGGAATGCTTTCCTCGTTTTGCCAATCCTTGTCTTTACATCTGAATCAGATTGCTCTTGTTTTACGACTATGCTGTCCATGTACACGAAGTTTCCACCTCTTCTAGAGCTTGTCCATCAAGTTTGATTGATTTGGCTGGTGTTCTCCGTGTTGTATTTGAGGATGTTGTTTTTCGCCTTGTGTATGTTGAGGCCTATTGTTGAAGAGTCTGTTGCTACACTAGTTGTACTCATCGACATTTGTTGGTGCGAATGGGATAGATGAGCTCTCATAATACTATCGTAATACTGTTGCATGTTAACTAGGCAACTCGATAATCAAATGCATGTTTATGTTTCCAGCTCTTACTCATAATTCTGTTTCGGTGTCATTAATATTCTTTGGCTACTCGAAGAGAAGTGAAACAAGGTTATATCCCACAACTAAATAATTTAGAGTTAACTATTTTCAGTAATTAAACAACGCCATCTCCCCAAACAAGAATATCTCTACTTTTCTGTGTCGTTTAACCAAAACGTACACCAAAATTCTGTATGAAAAACAAACATTTAAATGAATACCTTGATAACTAAACTTTGACACAATTATATCTTCAAGCGCATATAACTAAAGAATTAAAGTCAGACACGAAATTACAGAGGTATTTTGTGGAGTTTTGTTTTCTGAGCTGAATGGTTTGGTCGCGGTGCTTTCATGGTTATTCCGAACGACATCCTCAACACAAACGTTTGGTACAAGTGAAGTGTTTGGACTCCTCCATATCTGATTTCCAGCTTGTCCTGTAGGCCTCGATCTTGATTGATTATTCTTGACCTTTAACCTGCCATTGTTTACAGATGTATTTATTCACTGAGATAATCATACTTATTGTTTTTCAAAGAGTATGTTTAAAAATATTCTAAATAAATGTTCTTGTTCTTCAAACATACTTTTTCCTATTACCATACTTCAGTCATTTTTATTCTATTTAAGACACAAGATAAATTGTAGATAATAATAATAATATAACGACTTAACTACTTTAAGATAAAATAATCTACGGTCCCAATGATCGAAATTGAGTACAATTACAACTTTTTCGTTAGGTTAGTTAAGTCAAGATTATTTGTGCTGCAGAGAGATCTGCTTTTGATTATACAAAATAAAGTATATTGTATGATGCATATACAGTTTCATAATCCCTCTCAATCAATCACTATTGAATCGAATTGAATCAGACATTGTATATTAGTCACACTGTATTCTTGCAATTAAGATCTGTCATGTGGATAAAGTGTTTTTGACATCTTAAACTATGAAATTAAAAAGAGAAATATACGTATCATTTGAATTCACATCAATTTACATTCATTCTACAATTTTCCACACTCCAAGATGTTACAAATATATTTTGCATAATACGAACGCCTACTTATGAGTAGTTAAAAACATATTACAGAAAATAACGATTTTACCTTCTATTTCGCTTTTATCTGGCTTTTCCAAAATGAAAATCATACGTTCAATAGTCTGGGTATTTTCAGGTAAGGTTTTTATTTGGAATAGTCGATCCATGTTGATGTTTATCTCTATTTCAATGGATATTTCACACTGGGAATCCACGTAGCCAATATAACTACGAGGAATACTTCTAGGATTTTCATTAATAGATCTATAGTCTTTTAATAAATCTAGATCAGATTCACTCATCGGCAGCACAGGTAGTGTTTGTTTCATTTTCATACATTTTAAACAAATCATCTCACTTAAATTAACGACAATCCTTCCCGTAGGTGATGAAATTTTAGGACTGTTTTCACTAGTTTTTTGACCTATACATTTCTTTGAAAATATATCTGTTTTTAAATTTGGTTGAGCTTTTCCAATTTTATCATCATCTGGCTCAGCGCAAAATAAACCATTTTGAGACAGTTGTTTAACTTCAGTTGTTTCTTCTCCATGGCACACTCTGTCATATACATCAATGACTACAGGGAAAGTTTGTACCAATTCCCGAAGATATAATCCAGGAATATCATGTGTCAGGATAACCTATAGTGAATTTAACAAAATTTAAATCATAATACACAGGATGAATAGTTTACCTAAACTTCACAGTAAATTCATATTTATAAAACACAAGTAAACTGAACATTAAAATTTATTTAAACGGCGGTTTTCACTGATGAAATGACTCGTTAACCGAGTAGGAACTGATTTCAAACGAAAAAATAGAGCAGTTTAATGGAATGATGATTGTATTTCATAAACTACTCAATCGCAAAATATACACAGTTTTCACAGTGATGATCTACAGTATGTTAATCAAGAATATCAATTTATGAAACACAATAAGAAATGGAAATAAACACAAGTACAATAATCTATGTCGTTCTTTTTTAGACAATGAAAACATCACTGTTAACGAGCTTAAAAAGCTAACTAACTCCTCTTGGAACTACTGCAGAGTTACTGTCTGTCCTAAACCTGGGTATATGAGAAGATTTAGGTGCAGTGTTGCTAAGTCCACCTTGTAAAAAAGAAACATTCGACAAAATGGTCAAGCAGAAATAACCAATTAAACTCCGTTCTGGGAGTTGAATAATTTTTCCATTGAAGAGTTAGGGTCCTTCAGAAGGTATGAGTATGACACTACTGAAATGTAGCTTTTGATATCTGGCAATGTTCTAATCCTAAAGATTAATAATAAGATTTTTAAAACTGTCAGTTATCTTTACTTGATTATTATTTTATGACGTCCCACTTATTTTTATTTACATTTAGTTAATTTTCTGTATTCAAAAACATTTTGGTAATTTCGTACACATAGTTCCCTTTGTTATCGTATAGAGAGCAAGAACAAAGATTGGTAAAGAATAATATGAATTCATTTTATTTTGTTAGGTTCTCATTAGCTTCTTACAACCTAAATATTTGAAAATCAGAGTTATTACAGATAGTGACATACTTATACATAAGAGGGTGATTAAGGATGGCACTGCTGAATGCTTTTCATCCATTTGATCTTAAACTTTTCAGAATATGTTCTTTGAATCGGACATAGGCTCTCCTTTATGTCCTACCAATGTAACTGCTTTGGTGGAGCAGAAAGAAGAGCCTACGTTCGATTCAAAGAACATATTCTGAAAAGTTTAAGATCAAATGGATGAAAAGCATTCAGTAATGCCATCGCAAGACATCTCCTTGACACAGGACACGGAGCCTATACACTGAAGTCCTTCAAGGTGAGTAACAAGCAATCAAACTCCAATCTTTTGAAATTTGCCGAAGCGACAGCAATCAAACGTCTAAAACCAGATCTATGTATACAAAAAGAGACAGTAATAAATCTTTCTTTACCCTGGTAACATCAACCCCCCTTTTTTCATTTATTCATTTATTTATAACGTCATTCATTAACCCAACCTCTTTCTGAAGTTTACATTACATCATTCATAATTGGCTGATTTCAATTCATATCTTTCTTTATTACCACCTATCTTCAGTTACTTAATTACACAATCATCTAATGTTTGTTAACTCCATGAGTATTAATCATTATTTCAATGTTCTGTAACTTTCCCTCCCAAACTATTGATTTATTCGAAACAAAATTTTATGACCTCATTAACTCTATCGGAATCTTCGCTACATCATGATACACATGTATTCATCCTTCATCGCCCTCTGATGTATAAGTATGTCAATATCTGTAATAATGTTGAATTTCAAATATTTTAGGTTTTAAGCAGCTGATGAGAACCATACCAAATAAAATGAATTCATACTATTCTGTACCAATCTTTATTCTTGTTCTCTTTAATTTGATAATTATTTTCACTATCAATAATGATAGTGATAATATTTTGAATAGAACTAGTCAATGGAATTCAGAATGTGTGTTACATCTAATTCAAGGATTCTAAACTGAATATCAACAATGTTAAACTGAAGTTGATTAAAATTAATTATAAAATAATAATAACAATTATTTACACAATGAATGAAGCATAAGTCACTACAAAATAAAGTACAATATATTTTATCAATTCAATTGCACTGATCAGTTAACCTTAGTTATTAAATCAATAATTTAGATGAAGGTTAAACCATTTCTATTAGAATGTTTAACCATAAAGTTAATGAATTTCACTAGAGAATTTGTACTATTGTTTTTTTTTTTTTATAAGTAACATACATAGATAACTCCGCCTGTAGCTCTTATAGGGTTGCTGCCGGTCCCAAGCCCGGGTAAAGGAGGAGGGTTGGGCATGGGGTTAGTGTCCCCATCCCGTAGAAAACTAACTCGCTAAAAAAACGCTTACCAGAAAAAATAATCCAAACCATTTTAACTCTGCCCTGGGAGTTAGAAGGTCTTCATTTAGAAGAATTATGACGCTTCATGGTGAAAGCCGAGTTCCTTCGGAAGCCACGAGGCCGATGCCCCTTCTAACAACCAGAGCAAAAATTTTTATAGGTACATGGAACGTTCGAACAATGTGGGAAACCGGGAAGACCAGTCAAATATCAATGGAAATGAGGAGATACAACTTAGCAGTACTGGGAATCAGCGAAACCCACTGGACCCAAGCTGGACAGAAAAGGCTAGCTACGGGAGAGATGCTGCTATACTCCGGTCACGAAGAGGACAATGCTCCACACACTCAGGGAGTCGCTCTTATGCTGTCCAAAGTAGCACGAAATGCACTTGTAGGATGGGAATCTCACGGATCCAGAATCATCAAAGCATCATTCAAAACAAAGAAGGAGGGGATCTTAATGAATATTATCCAATGTTATGCACCCACTAATGATAGCAACGACGACATTAAAGATCAATTCTACGAGCGGCTGCAGTCAGTGATAGAGAAATGCCCAAGAAAGGACCTCACCATTCTAATGGGAGATCTAAATGCCAAAGTCGGAATAGACAACACTGGATATGAAGATATTATGGGACGACATGGACTGGGAGAAAGAAACGAAAATGGAGAAAGATTTGCAAATCTATGTGCATTCAACAAATTGGTCATAGGAGGCACAATATTTCCACACAAGCGTATACACAAGGCTACATGGATCTCACCGGACCACACTACAGAGAACCAAATAGATCATATTTGCATCAACAAAAAATTCCGAAGGACAATTGAAGATGTGAGAACCAGGAGAGGAGCTGACGTAGCTTCAGATCACCACCTAGTTGTAGCCAATTTGAAACTGAAGCTAAAAAAGAACTGGACAGGTGGACAAACAGCAATACAAAGGTTCAATACAGCCTTCCTTCGAGATACTGTCAAACTCAATGAATTCAAGATAGCTCTCAACAACAGGTTCCAAGCCTTACAAGATCTACTGAACGAAGAAGAAACTACTATGGAGGACAACTGGAAAGGCATCAAGGAAGCATTAACTTCAACGTGTCAAGAGGTTCTCGGTCTAAAGAAATACCATCATAAGGAATGGATCTCTACAGAAACAGTGGACAAGATCAAAGAAAGGAAGAACAAGAAGGCAGCAATAAACAACAGCCGAACACTAGTAGAGAAAGTCCAAGCACAAGCTGAATACATAGAAGCAAACAAACAAGTGAAGAGGAGCATTAGAGCCGACAAGAAGAAATACGTGGAAGAACTAGCAACGACGGCAGAAAAAGCTGCTAGAGAAGGAAATATGAAACAGCTTTACGATACAACGAAGAAACTATCAGGGAAATACAGTAAACCAGAGAGGCCGGTCAAAGACAAAGAAGGCAAGCCAATCACCGAAATTCAACAACAACGTAACAGATGGGTAGAATACTTCGAGGAACTCCTGAATAGGCCGGCTCCAATGAATCCACCGGACATCGAAGCAGCACACATAGATCTTCCTATAGATGTCAATCCACCAACTACGGAAGAAATTAGAATGGCCGTCAGACAAATCAAGAACGGGAAAGCAGCAGGACCCGACAACATACCAGCTGAAGCACTGAAATCAGACATCGAAACAACCACAAGCATGCTTTATCTTCTATTCAAAAAGATTTGGGAGGAGGAACAAGTGCCAATGGACTGGAAAGAAGGACACCTCGTCAAGATTCCAAAGAAAGGAGATCTGAGCAAATGTGAAAACTACAGAGGCATAACACTACTGTCAATACCAGGGAAAGTCTTCAACAGATTGTTGCTGAACCGGATGAAGGATGCAGTAGACGCCCAACTTCGAGATCAACAAGCTGGATTCCGTAAGGATCGGTCGTGCACAGACCAAATTGCAACACTACGGATCATCGTCGAACAATCAGTTGAGTGGAACTCATCACTATACATCAACTTCATTGATTATGAAAAGGCATTCGACAGTGTAGACAGGAGGACGTTATGGAAACTTCTTCGACACTACGGAATTCCTGAGAAGATTGTCAATATTATCCGGAACTCATACGACGGACTACAGTGCAAAGTAGTGCATGGAGGACAGCTGACAGATGCATTCCAAGTAAGGACCGGAGTCAGACAAGGCTGTTTACTCTCTCCCTTCCTCTTTCTTCTGGTGGTCGACTGGATTATGAAGACCTCAACATCTGAAGGAAAACACGGAATACAATGGACAGCTCAGAATCAATTAGACGATTTGGACTTCGCAGATGACCTAGCCCTCCTATCACGTACACACGAACAGATGCAGATGAAGACAGCCAGTGTAGCAGCAGTCTCTGCATCAGTAGGCCTCAGCATACACAAAGGGAAAACTAAGGTCCTCAAATTCAAAGCGGAAAACAGCAATCCAATCACTCTTGATGGCGAAACTCTGGAAGATGTAGAATCCTTCACATATCTGGGAAGCATCATCGATGAACAAGGAGGCTCAGATGCAGACGTAAAGGCGAGGATCGGCAAAGCAAGGGTCGCATTCCTACAATTGAAGAACATATGGAACTCAAAACAACTTTCAACCAATATCAAAGTGAGAATCTTCAATACGAACGTCAAAGCAGTTCTACTGTATGGAGCTGAAACTTGGAGAACTACAACAACCACAATCAAGAAGGTGCAAGTATTTATAAATAGCTGTCTACGCAAGATACTCAACATCCATTGGCCGGATACCATCAGCAACAGCCTTCTGTGGGAGAGAACAAACCAACTTCCAGCTGAAGAAGAAATTAGGAAAAGACGATGGAAATGGATAGGACATACATTACGCAAATCGTCAAACTGCATCACGAGGCAAGCCCTAACTTGGAATCCTGAAGGGAAGCGAAAAAGAGGAAGGCCGAAGAACACATTGCGTCGGATAATAGAAGCAGATATGAAAACGATGAATTACAACTGGACGGAGCTAGAAAGGATTGCCCAGGACAGGGTTGGATGGAGAACGCTGGTGAGCGGCCTATGCTCCTTCACGAGGAGTAACAGGCGTAAGTAAGTAAGTAAGTAAGTAACATACATAGATATTCTATTATCAATTGTTTCTTAATGAATTTTACTATGAATGTGTTTTATTCTTGAATATTTTATTCAGCTAGAAAAATGGACAATTATTGAAGACATAAGAATACAAGAAAACCAAGTCATACAAATCAGTGTTAGCAACAACTTAATAGCTCACAAGAAGAAGTTATGTATAGACATTATTTTTGAATAACCAAAGCTCATTACAATACATTCAACGGGTGAATAATTAAAAAGATCTTTTTCATATCCACCTTCCATAAACATTCTTACCCATGTAATTTCATCAAAAAGCATTTAGTAAATTATAAAGTCACTCCTGAAAATAAAAATCAAATGATCCTATGATACATGAAAAACATCATTAAAATCACGACAAGAATTTTGTAACCTTTTAAAATTCATATCACTCATAAGCCAATGCAATAACTTCACTAGATCAGTCACTTATGGCCATATATAGATGTGGGACAACTGAACATAACAGACCATGGAGACACAAGGTCACATGAAGACAACAAAATCTACGTTGGTAACTAGTGAGAAGAAGGATAATCAGAATAGACTGGCTAATTACCTGTGCAATAATCCAAATACTCACTACCATTAGAATTAGACTTTAATAATGTTGTCTAGGATGACAATGGAAGCTTCGGGATTTGACCATCCAGTTTAGAAAACGATTATTTCCTCCTTTATAAATTGCGCTTGTCTTTTTATTCTTATTAGGTAACCAGTTATTAAATGATCTGCTAATTTTATAACAACCTGTTTTAGTTAGTGAACTAATTTCATCATTAACTATATACTCAATCGAATAGTTTTAATTGAAATATATAGCTTTCTTCAATTTTGTTTTAACTTAACAATTTCTCTAGTTTTTAAAATGTGATTGTACTTATTTTCATGTTAGCTATTCAATTATTTATCACTGACGCCAATTTTTCTTAATTGATTGAAAGTAAGCATAAAATGATCTTGGATTTGGCTTTCATATTGGGTGAAACATTCAGTAAGGTTTATTCACAATCTTGACTAGACTGAGGTCCACCGCTAGAATAAAACATACGTCATTCATTATCTCAGTCTAGAATATTACCATTAAAATATTCAAACAGAGACTAACCTTGAGCCGAACTCATATTAAATATCTTAAACCAAATAACATTTTCAGTTATATCTGCTTGAGTTTGTAAATGTTGTCAAATTTTTAAAATTTTCAAGTTATTATTTTAGATATGGATACTGTGTGAAAGTCATTATTTTGAGATGTAATGTTTATATATCGGCACATGCACAAATTTATTCCCATAATTTAGTAAATTTACCTGTACTTCATCCATATATATTTCTTTGTCTTGAACATATTCACCTGACTGATGGCTCCATACATCAGAGAATGTAGTTACTAATCGTATTGGTTCACATTTATTTCTCATTTCTTCATAGCTTCTATATGGAGCAACGGGAAGATTACGTAATCTGTCGATAGTCAATATGATTGGCTGAAATTTCTGCCTCTGTTGATCAGACATCAATGAATTAGAAAGTTTCATACCAACTAATATATCTTTAAAATTACTCTCTAATTCTAAAGTCACTGAAGATAATGGTGGCTTATTCAATGATACATTATTAGTATGTGTCAATGGTTTACACGCTACAATCCATTCTGGTGGATTTATACGAAATAAATGTCCTGTTTGTAATACTAAACAACATGTTCCCCAACTCTCAACAGGATTTTGAATTCTGTCAGTTTTCCTTGAACTATGACCAGCAGATAATACTTTCATTGTACTACTGCAAGATTGGTTAGATGTATTTACGTCTGTGAAATAAAAGTATATTTTTTAAATGTTCAATTAAACCAGCTTCATTTAAACTATTAAAACATTCTTACAATATCAAGTAAATTGATTATATTTTTTAGTATAGAACACAACTACTCACTAACTGTGTAATGTTTTGAAATGGACGAAAATGTAAGCCATTTTAATTCAATGAATTCTCGATATAATTCACTTTGTAAGTGATGTCCTAGGATTTTTATCCAGTTGTTTTTGAAATAGAAATACCATACTATTCTAGTTAACGAACAATAAGAAAATGATGAAGAGCCTAACTTTATTACGTTTTATCCCTCATGCTTAATAGAGATATCCTCTTTTTTATGTTAATTGTTAAGATTTACTAAACATTTCATCTTTTTTTACTTTTTCTTATCCTTCAGTGATCTTGAATTATGGTGCTTTCTATTGAGGAAACTCTCATCATACTTAAATATTTGCAAACTAATAATAATGAATAATGATGATAATCACAGTCCTACTATAAGTATCTTTAATAGATTTCTTTTAAAACAAAAATAAATCATTGATGAGTAATATAAACTGACTTTATTCAGAAACAACTTGTCATCAATCATTATGAACCTAAACTATTCATATCAACGTTTTAATTTGAACATACTTAGGTTAGAATAATAAACATTATCTAATCTTAATTAGTAGAAAAGACGCCCCCCCCCTCCCACAATACATATGATAGTTACGTAGAATTGATTTCATGTTAGTAACTGGAAAGATTATCATAGAAATTTTTATTGTTAGTAATTCTGGGATACAAGTAATTAGATAACTGATAAATGATAAGTATTGAAAAGGATTAAGTATGTATTATTTATTATTATTACTACTTAAGTGAACATATGTGATCAAACAGTGGTGAATGATGCTTGCTAATTATCACGTTAGTTATATACATTTGTGAAAACTAGAAGTGTATATAAAGTGAGATTATCTAGAATGGAATTTATGCCGCCTAAAACATAAACTGAAAATTCGTCTTAAACATTGTATTCTTGCCTTTTTACGTCTTTCTAAACATAGAATATGAAGCTAAGTAAACTCTATTTCATCAATATGATTTTGTTTATTCTTCTCTTCAATATTATCTGGATTGTTTTCACTGATGTTAAGTATATAGTGTTCTATCGACAACAATCATGCTTTCTATCATGCATATATAAAACTCTTGTTTCCCTATATGATATTTTGTTGTAATAAGTGTAATTACAATGTCAATATGCAAATAATCAAATAAGGAAAGTGATGGGCTTATAGCTTAGCGAAAGCTCATGTAAATTTATTTTTATTTCGATAGAGTCAATTGAATTGGCTTAATGATTTTTTGATCTTGCATCTAAGCTTTTATTTCCATGTTGTTGCCATTGTTATATTTAGTGACTATATGGTACATATTCTTCTAGCTGTCCTTATTCACTCTTATACATCTACGTCTTCGACTTACACATATGTTTGTACTTTCTGATATATATATCACCATTTAACAATTATATACCACTTTGTGACAATATAAACATGCAGTGGTTCAAAAACCGTTTGTTTAAACTCAAATTTCATACAGTCTTCCTGCATCTTTTTTTGGTTTATGCATGAAATATGCATGTGAACAACAACACACATCATACTAGATTTCTTATTTGACTGTTGGTATCATATTCATTACACAAGGGTTAAATCTAATTAAATATACATATTTATTTGGGATCGATATTTCAATGAAATCAAATGATCTGCGACACACCAAACAAATGGAAACAATTCGACAAAAAAACTCAACCCACATCCTCAATTCATATGATAACGAAGTGAAATTTAACATAAACAATATAGATATATTTAGAAATTGAATGTTAATCACATAACGGGAAAACTGAAGGGAAACTATCAACGTGACTTTTAATGAAGGGACAAGATGACATCGGTGTTTTTAAATCACGGACATGATTGGTAGGACAAAAATGACTGGGATCAAACTTCTTCAATTTGTTCACTGAATATATTTTAAAAATACTTTTGGTTAGGAATTTAATGTATGCTAGATTACTTTTTGGTCCACCAGGGTGCTCGGTACCTCTGTGGTTGAGCCACAGGATTGAGCTGTACTATTCAGATTGTAGCGTTAAAGATTATATGGTATATTACTTACTTACTTACGCCTGTTACTCCTAATGGAGCATAGGCTGCCGACCATTATATGGTTCTCCTGAAAACCAATGTAAAATTACCCTGGCCCACAAGGGTGTATTATATAACTATGAACTTATAGATTATTTTTATTTTGTATTATTGAACCATTAAATCGCTTTACGTCATAGATCTAATTTGCATAATTAATTCATGGAAATTATGCAAATACATTTCTAGGAATAATTATGGAAATACCAGTTCATTTAACAGTTTTAACTGATTTCAGAATGATAATAATTTGCATACTATCTGTAGATGATCTATATCACTAACTACATCTTATCAGTGAATCCACATATAATGATTCTAACTTCTCAGAAGTTCGAGTTTGTTACGTGACAAAAATGACTGAACTATATGAAGTTATTAGTTAACAATTAACTAGTCAGTCTAAGTAGATAGTACTAGATAAATAAAACTGATAAACTAAATCAATAAATATCACTCAGGGAAGTGAACTAATATTGGGTAGAAGCTAACAAGCATTCATTATAAAAGAAGTGAGAGGACTTTTAAATACGTTAATATTTCCTCGATAAACCTAAGGTTATGATAATAAATTATTAGCTCAAACCCTATTAACACCACTTAGAAGCACAATTTTAATTTGATTGTGTTCAATATAGCGATACTGTCTGATACTTACCTGGTGTTTATCTTTCAGATATGAAACAGTTTAAATGAAATTTAAACTGAATTTGTGTGATGTTTGTCTGAACTAATGATTTCTTTGTACTTGATAATTGCCTGATTTCAAATCCCAAATACAATAAGTTTATTTGTGTATGCCTAGTTCTATTTGCTGTAAATTGCACTATTTCAGGAATTCCTAGTTCGTATAATAATTCAAACACCTCTAATTGTCACAATATGCCAGTAGGAAATTTTGAAATATGATTGATCACCTAGTCACGTTTGCTAAGATAATAAGTAATGCCCATTACAAGGTATTACAAGATAGTGCATAGTGATGATACATTTTCAGGCTTACTAGTCAATTATGATCAGTTTTATTATCAAATTTACTCATGAAATGAAGATTAAGTAACGTCTTTTGATTTTAGTGATCACTGTTTGTATGAAGACAATGGGTTGTATTTCATAGGAGCGATCGTAAACAGGTATTTAGTTGAACAGTAAAAAATACAGTCGATTGTCGAGATTTTTCAAGTAAAATTCACAGCTGAAAGATAAAGTACAGAGTTTGTTGACGGACATTCTGGCAATTATAATCTATCCAATTAAATTCATCAAAATAACGAAACACGAATACTACTATTTATTAAAGATCTTTCCAAGTCCTAGCAACACATTCCCCTGGGAATTATGTAAATTATATTGTTAACCTACTATTTAATCAATAATGACATTTAGTGAAATTTTTCAAAGATATTTTTCGCTGAAAATTCTTTCATCTGTAACACCAGAAATAGTTAAACTTACATTTTATATGCTTTTTTGTTTTTGATTCTAATGTTGTTTTACATCTCTTAGAAACACTCTCAGTATTCGAACTATTCATCTGTACATTCGTTGGATTTTTACGATAAGAATTTAACATGTTTATTATAGATTGAACTTCACTTAACTTGTTATCATCCTTCAAATTATCTTCAGACTGTTTGTTACTGTTAATATTGACAGATCTTGGTCTATCAAATCTTGTCTGAATCGAACACTTTTCTCGTTGATCCCAACATTTAACATGTATGCCACCAGTTTGTGTTAAGTTCCAAAAGTCAATAATTATTTCATCCGTAATCGCTATTGGTATTTGTTCGGTCCATACAATCCATAAAGTGTCGTTAAATTCACAGGGATTTATTAGTTTTGATGAACAGTTGGTTGGGTAAATTTTAGCAATGGATTTTGAAAATACTACCACATCTGTAGAAAATAAAAAATCTTCTTTATTCATTATTGAGTATTCTAGATGAAAATACATAAAATTGTTATGTCCGTTAGATAAACTAGATGAGCTTGAGTTAACTGACTTTGGTCGTGTGATAGTAGATTCTCTATTTAACAGCGTTTCAGAATCAACAGCCAACACAAATGTTAATAAAATGTTTGTTATATGTTCTTCATTACCATCATCACCGTCATCTTCATAAATCTTGTCCTCTGATTGTTTATTCCAACGTTTACTATGCTTCCTAACTGAACTCATGTGAAGTATTGGGTGAACTACATGTGGTAATATTGAAAATGAAGACCATCCACTTGTATAATTATTTATAGACATATCCTTGTGAGTAATTGTAAAAAGATACTAACGTGAATAGTACTTTTATTATTTCAAATATAGATCTTATTTGTTAAGCCAATCGAAAACTAAATTCATTTGATTGGTCACTTTTGGCTCGGTGTATAAACTTTCTCAACATTCACAACTACCCGATGTGTAATAATATTGTCCGTCAATTCCTAAAACGCTTAGAAGGCAGTTTCCTTGTTTCAAATAAATATTTTCATCCTATCTGAAGAAACCATACGTTTAGCACATTACACATGCATATATGCACCAAAGAAGGTCACTTTTTATTTTGAACTACAGGGATAGTAAATGTTTTTCATTTATCTCCTAAACTTAATCCTCGTTATTTTGTTTACTAAGCATACTTTTCACGAATTTCCGAACTTTGTAATGCCTCAAGTATTCATTTGTAAAAATCCTAAATATAGGAATATAAAAATAAGTCATTATGTACCTTATTCTCATACCATCTTTCAATATACACGAAACTGCTTTTCATTGATTCATAACATACAAAGAATTTATTAGTATATTATCCATTTTCGTAAGTTTATATTATAGTAATATTGTCATACGGGCCTAAAAAGACGTATTTCAACTATTGCTTGTTCACCATATATTCTATCAATCGACACAAGACATTGCTAAATTAATGGTAAAACGACATATTATACACGTTTTTGAAGTAAGATATCTCTTTGTAGATATTGACTAGAGCCAATATCGTGAGAATACTTATGTCCTTCAATTAATACTTTCCATCTTTAGTTGAGCTATTATTGCGCTACCATATTGACAATGTGATAATTGGTTAACATCACACAACTTAATGACTCAAAAGCCTGTATCACTCTGACCTAATGACTAAGCTATACCACTTAATTAGTACAGTTAAGGAACAAACGAAATCTCACCAGAAAGATCTTCCTTATCTGACAGATTGAAGTGAGGTAATGTATAAGTTCTCCATACCACAGAATCGCCAAATGGTTAGCGGAAAAATTGGAACCGGTTAGAAGGCAAGTATGTAAACATTCTATTCATGATACTTTTCAATTTATTGATCGTATTAAGGACGTTAATGCTTCCGAAAAACACATGTTCTCGCTTGATGTTAATTCTTTGTTCACTAGCGTACCTTTAACCGAAACAATATGTTATATATGTGAGTATATTGATTCTAACAATATAGATCTAGGTTTGCCAACTGAACACTTGAAAGAATTATTGTTACGCTGTACTTTTAATGTCCAGTTCAGTTTCAATAATCAAATATATAGACAAAGGGATGGGGTCGCAATGGGGTCTCCATTGGGTCCAATTTTAGCAGACTGTTTCATGGCAAAAGTAGAAAACGACCAACTCCGTTCAATGATCAATCGATTCCACCTGTACGTGAGATACATGGACGACACGTTTGTTGTTTGTGACAATAATATTGATTTAGATGATATTCTACATACCTTTAACTCGTGCCACCCTTCCATAGACTTCACGTTAGAAAGGGAACAAGACCAATCAATTCCTTTTCTCGATGTACGTCTGACGAGAAGGAGTAATGGTTCTTTAAAAAGATCCATCTTTAGAAAACAAACATGGAATGGCCAGCTAACCAACTTCTATAGCTGGGTTCCGTTAAGTAGGAAGAGAAACCTTATCCATTCTTTATGCCATCGCATACATCACATATGCAGTACGGAATGCATTAACGAATAACTCGCATTCCTGAAGAAGACTTTGACGGAAAATGGTTACCCAGAACGGTTTATAGAAAAGAATATGAATAAAAGTAGTCGCGAGAAGAATTCTAGTTGTTCCGTTCCAAAGAAAAACCTTTATATAAGTCTGGAATTTAAAGGTGATCGAACATCAAAAATCGTCTAACAACAACTATTAGAAGAACAGTTAACGCGGCAAAACTGCGAATATCCTTCACTAGTAGAAACTTGTTTTCTGTTTCCATAAAAGATAAGCTTCCGCGTCTGGTCGCCTCCATGTGCATCTACCAGTTCACCTGCTCTTGTGGAGCAAGGTACATTGGCCGTAGCCAGCGCTTGCTTTCAACTCGGATACGAGAACATATCCCAGCTTGGTTCTATAAGGGTGAAAGGAAAGCAGTTAGGAGTTCTATACTTGAACACCTAATCGACTATAACCATTCAAAATTAAAACACGAATTTCAGCGAAGGGATCTCTTTTCAACGAATTTATTATCAAGCTGTACAATCGTATATATATGAAAATTTTGTTTTTGTAAAAGTACTAATTCCGTGAGGAAATGTGAACACAGTTAATATAAAGGTTATAATACTAGATTACGTAATATGAATAATAACAATAACAATGGATTTGGTGAATATAATAAGATGATTAAAATGATTAAAATGTTTTTGATATAATAATTAAAGGTCATAGAGGTGTACAAAAATAAACTGATATGATGAGCGTTCATGAATAAAACAATGAGAATATAAGACATAAGTAAAGGGGGAATGCAGTAATAATAATAATAATAATAATAATAATAATAATAATAATAACATTAATGGTAGGATAATCAAACTAATTAAGGCCAAGGTAACGATAACGATAAGACGTACTTCTTTTGTACGCATAGTTCTGGTTTAAGCTCCTGGATGGCAAGAGCTTCGGCTATTTTTAAAAGTTGTATACGAAGAAATCTGGGTAGATTTGAACGAATCATATAAACAACCTTAAAATCAATTTGTGGATCTGTTGAATGGTTATAGTCAATTAGGTGTTCAAGAATAGAACTCCTAACTGCTTTCCTTTCACCCTTATAGAACCAGGCTGGGATATGTTCTCGTATCCGAGTTGAAAGCGAGCGCTGGCTACGGCCAATGTACCTTGCTCCACAAGAGCAGGTGAACTGGTAGATGCACATGGAGGCGACCAGACGCGGAAGCTTATCTTTTATGGATACAGAAAATAAGTTTCTACTAGTGAAGGATATTCGCAGTTTTGCCGCGTTAAATGTTCTCCTAATAGTTGTTGTTAGACGGTTTTTGATTACGTCCGATGTTCGGTCACCTTTAAATTCCAGACTTATATAAAGGTTTTTCTTTGGAACGGAACAACTAGAATTCTTCTCGCGACTACTTTTATTCATATTCTTTTCTATGAACCGTTCTGGGTAACCATTTTCCGTCAAAGTCTTCTTCAGGAATGCGAGTTCTTCGTTAATGCATTCCGTACTGCATATGTGATGTATGCGATGGCATAAAGAATGGATAAGGTTTCTCTTCCTACTTAACGGAACCCAGCTATAGAAGTTGGTTAGCTGGCCATTCCATGTTTGCTTTCTAAAGATGGATCTTTTTAAAGAACCATTACTCGTTCTCATCAGACGTACATCGAGAAAAGGAATTGATTGGTCTTGTTCCCTTTCTAACGTGAAGTTTATGGAAGGGTGGCACGAGTTAAAGGTATGTAGAATATCATCTAAATCAATATTATTGTCACAAACAACAAACGTGTCGTCCATGTATCTCACGTACAGGTGGAATCGATTGATCATTGAACGGAGTTGGTCGTTTTCTACTTTTGCCATGAAACAGTCTGCTAAAATTGGACCCAATGGAGACCCCATTGCGATCCCATCCCTTTGTCTATATATTTCATTATTGAAACTGAACTGGACATTAAAAGTACAGCGTAACAATAATTCTTTCAAGTGTTCAGTTGGCAAACCTAGATCTATATTGTTAGAATCAATATACTCACATAAATAACATATTGTTTCGGTTAAAGGTACGCTAGTGAACAAAGAATTAACGTCAAGCGAGAACATGTGTTTTTCGGAAGCATTAACGTCCTTAATACGATCAATAAATTGAAAAGTATCATGAATAGAATGTTTACATACTTGCCTTCTAACCGGTTCCAATTTTTCCGCTAACCATTTGGCGATTCTGTGGTATGGAGAACTTGACATGTCCAAAATAGGTCGTAACGGTAAACCCAGCTTATGTATTTTCGGTAGTCCATATAAGCGCGGGATGACTGAACCCATGGGACGCATGTGATTATATAAATCTTGGGTTATTATCCCCTTATTCTTAAGATTTTTAACAACATCTGTTAGCTGTTTTTCGATTTGTAATGTTTTGTCAACTTCTTTAGGTTTGGAGAATTTAGTACCATCCTCTAGAATTAACTTCATTTTATCCAAATATTCTTTGCGGTCAAGTAGTACTACACCAGCTCCTTTGTCAGGTTTACTTAGGATTAAATCCTTATTTCTTTTCAACAGTATTAGCTGATCCAAGTGGTTCTTAGTTAATAGGTTATTCTTACTACAATGTGCATTAACGAATCCATGACTACAGTCCAGTAATGTGGACTTAAAGTGCTGGAGATTTTGTGGAGATGTCGGCATAAGATCATGAGTTTGATTTGATAGATTTTCGAATTGTATTTGCGTATGAAGTCTACTGGTTTTGGAGGTGCTGTTACAGAACTTGGGACCCAATGATAAGGCCTGCATTTGGACTGGCGAAAGTTTAATAGAAGAATGATTAAATACATACTTTTCTGGATGTTCTGGAAACTTTTTAGTCACGTCTACGTGTTGCAATGTTTCCAAGTGTTTACGTTTAGCTTTTTGTGACTGTTTTTCTGTAACATTAGTAACATAGTCCTCAAATTGTTTACGTTCATCTAACGACAATTCAAACAATGCGTGACTTCTTAGAGATATGTTGCGATCTAGTTCGACTTTTCGAGATTTGATAGCATCGATATAATTGAGTGCATGACGTTTGAGTGTTTTTGCATTGGGATGAATATGGTTTCGCCTTAACGCCTTCCAGAAACGTTTAGGATAATCATTATTTTCGATACAGCTTTCAAGAAAATTGATCTCACATTTCACTAACGCAAGCTTGACGGTGTAACGTAAGAACTCATTGAGCCCTTTCATCGTCATAAGGTCCTTGCATTTCTTCAATTGACAGATAATTCCCATTTAA